AACCGTGGTCCCTGTGCTTTGCTAAGCTTGTTCTGAGTAGGTGCTTTAGACCACTGAGCCATCTCACCAGCCCCTATTCCATTCCTTTTTATTCCCCTATTTATACCTCTTGGAATGCGAACATTTACTCTATGCCACTAACGTTGGCAGTGTTTCACTTCTTTGTGATTTTTACAGGGGCTCGCAGCTAAGAGTTTTCCTTGAGTCGCAGACCTGGTTCTATGTTAGCAACACTGGAACTACTAGGACTCTGATGCCTCTTACACGTGGACTAAATGCATTTTCTACCAACACAGGATGAGTCTCTTGGGCCCGAGGCAGAATGTGACAGTCCACCTCTAGAGTGGCTCCTGAGAAGCTCCTAAGTCCAGAGGTCAGGATTGGGAAGCTAGTTGGACTGTGGGGGTGCTACTGTATCAGGGGACTCATCCAGCGCAGTTGAGAGCTATGTGTGCTGTCAGAGGTGGGGTCTGGATGGAAGGAGGTCACTGGGGCCCAGTCCACTGGTGTACCCCTCCCTAGCTTGTCCTGCTTCCTGGCTGCCACAATGTGGGTGGCCTTCCTCTGCAGACCCTTCCACCCTGAAGCCAGCCAGCCAGGAACTGAATTCTGAAAACCGTGACACAAAGTAACGTTCCCTCCATTAAGCCCTGAGCATCAGGCATTTTATCCTAGTGATGAAAAAGTAAGCCACCCAACTAAATCACCCTCTGCCAGAGGCTGTCTGGTGACAGCAGGAGGTGTCCTGGCTCCACAGGCACACTGTTGAAAGGGACATCACTTTGCAGGCTGGTCCTCCAGGGGCTGGGAGGGTCAAGAAGGGCCCAGGCAGGGAGGAACGGGGTCAGAGGCTACGCAGCCCAGCACGAGACTCACCAGGTGGTGTGCAGGAGGAAGAGAAAGACAGCCGGCAAGACGAGGTCATCGCTGCCCACAGACCAGCGCCGCCGGAACACCACGATCCCAGGCATGGCTGGTGGCTCTGAAAGGCTCAGCAGAACCGGTGCTCACCTCCTGGAAGAAAGCAGAGGCCCCTGGAGTAGCCTGAGCCGGCTGCAGCACCCAGGACTCCTGCCCTCTTGGGCCACTGGGCTTCTCCCAGATGTGGTCAGTAGTGCTGCCATCTTTGGCACTAGTCACAAGTTCCACCCTCCATCCTGGGGCCTCCAGACCTCCGGGAACACCGACCCATCCCTCGGCAGGAGCTGCTTCCTGCTGCCCACCCACTCCTAGAGCCAACATCAAGGACCCCAGCAGTGTGATGTCAGACAGCGGGTGCTGGCTCAGGAGTGCCCAGGACCAGGGCCCAAGGAAGGAGGCACTGTAGTCAGTGGGTCATCTCAGCAGAAACCAGTAACAGGACAGGGAGCCTGCACAGGCTGTGCAGACGAAGCCTGCTGGGCACCTGCTCCTGGCCCATGGAGGCTTACATTGCACCTGGTCCGGGGGCAGGTAGCAGGTCCTCCTCTCCCCAGGGAAGGCTTGGGGAAAACATGTGTCCTCAGAGACTGGCATCACTCGGGAAGGAAGCAGCCAAGTCCTCCCTGGCCAGTGGGCACAGCCCTTGGGGTAGGCGAGGGGGTGTGGGGCTGGGTGCCAGCTGGCATGTCTGGCCTGGCCTGTCCCCTGCCCCAAGGTGCAGCCACTTCGTGTAGCGCTCCAGGGCTGCTCAGAGCTGGCAGCCTGGCCAGCCGGCCAGCCTGCCAGGGTCGTGTCTGCTCCTCCCCCCAGGAAGTGACATCATCCACACTCTGAGGAGGAGCTGAAAAGCAGGGACTCAGGGAAGCCGAGTGGGGGAAGGATGGGATAGGGGAGATGCGCAAGGCAGCCAGGGCGGGGGGCCTCAGCAGCGGCAGTGTCTGTGACAAGATTGGGGGTGGGAGGGGCAGGGCAAGGCAGGCAGGCGACAGAGGCCTCCTCTCTGCAGGTGGCTTGGGTCACAAGCTGAAGTGTGAGGAGGTTGGGCTTGGAGAGCTGCGGGGAGCACTCACATCTGGGAGTGTCGGGACAGGTCAGAGGTCAGCAGTCAGCCACAGGCCCTGTGGTTCCCAAGGTCTGCATTTTTGCCCCATGGGTGGCCCCAAGGACCTGACAGGGTAAGGCCCACCTGCCCACCCCTCAGAGGTCAGATCACTCTGGCTTTAGGTAGAGCCAAGCCCACCCTCCCTGCACGGGAGCTGCCTCTCACCCTCACCTGTCCTCTTGTGGGGTCCGATGGGTGGCACCCTGTGTGCTTTTAGGGACCATCTGCCAGTCACCCTGGCCCCAGGCACTGCACTGCCAAGACCCAGGGCTGCAGGGCCAGCCTGTTTCCACCCACGGCCAGCAGCTGCAGTCAGCACCAGGGCTGTATCTGTCCAGCCTACCACGAGCCAACCCCAGACACATGGTGGTGACCCCACAGCTAAAACCCTGTGGCACAGGAGCTGTGACTCGGCTCCTCCTAGGCCTGCCTTCCAAGTGGGCAAAGATCTGGAGAAACATGGCCTACAGGGCCCGTGCCAGGCTGGGGGAGGCCGGGGCTTTGGGGCCAGGCAGCCTGTGAGCCCCAGGTCAGCTGCCCTGCCTGGCCCTGCCTGGCCACGCCTGTGGCCTCCCCCACTAGTCATCCATAGGTCACAGCCCAGCAGGGCAGCAGGCTCGGCCACACGGGGTCTCCTCTGATCCCTGCATGTCCACGTCCCAGGCTATTTTTAAGGCTCTGAAAGGCGCCTTTTCTCTGAGACCCCAGCCCATCACAATGGTGGCCTGTTCCTATGGGTATGATGTCACCCACAGGAAATGTCCCGGGAGGGTAACAGGACTGCTTCCCAGGCTGGATGCCCCTGAGGCAGGCTCAGCGGGGCAGGGAAGCGATTGTTGTGTAGCCCCACAAGGCCCACTTTCCCCTCTCTTCAGGCCCTGGGGTGAGGCAGGCACCACTCCAGGAGTTCCTCTTTCTAAAAATGCTACTTCAAAGAAAAAAAAAAAAAAAAAAAGTGCATGCTGTGGTTCCCTGTGGCCTGTGGGATAAAGCTGCTGAGAACCTCGGAGCAGCCTAACCCCAGATCACAGCTTGTCCTCAGGGCAGGACCCATTTTTCTCTGGAGATGCAGGGTCCTGGGTGCTTTGGCTATCCCGCTCCACCAGGCAAATGCTTATCATTCCAGGCCAGCAACAGATTCTCCGTCATCTTCCAGGCTGGCCTCAAACTTACTATGCATCCTGGCCTGTGCTTCGCTTCGTAATCCTCCTGCCTCAGCCTCCCGACTGACGGGCCTGCAGGTGTGCGCCATATTCCCGGCTGACAGCACTCCCTCCTGGGGCCCCTCCCACTAACACAGCCCTGGCACCCATCTGTCCCCCAGTGAACCTGCTCTTGCCCAGCCGCAGCCTGGCGTCCAGGGCCCCTGCACCCTTCTAGCACCAAGAAGTGTCTGCGCAGGCGCTGCTGGTCCCTCTCCTCAGAGAGAGCTGCTCGCGCCCTTAGCTTGGGAAACGTCCCTTCCTTCCTGCTGGGCAGACAGCTGGGGCGCGCCCCACTGACCTGTGTGCCTCAGGGTGCCACCCTAGTTCAGAGGGTCCCTGCCTGGCCAGTCGCAGCCGTGGGCACCAGGTGCAGGGTCAGGATGGAGAGGAAGAGGGAAAGGGGCCGCAGTCTAGGCCCAAGACACGGCCGCATCAGCCCTGTCCTCAGCAACGGGGGAGCAGACTGTCTCAAGGCCCGCCGTGCACTGTGCTGGCTGTGACCCTGGAGAAGGGACGGAGCTGCTAGGCCTGGTCCCTCCCCACTAAAGCATGGGTGAGACGCACACGCATCTCAGGGTCCTCGGAAGGCTGCAGGACCTGGGGGCCCAGCCTACACACCGCCTCCTGCTATTACTGCTTAGGGTCAAGGACTCTGAGATGCTGCCCAGACGACCCCGGGAGGCAGGAGCACCAGCTACCCCACCTCTGTCCAGCGCCCTGGTGAGGCAGGAGGGCCTCAGCAGGGGCGCACCCTCACAGGTGGGGACACCGAGGCTTGGGAAGTACGCAGGCAGCCAGCTTATCCGCAGTGCCTGCCCGAGCACAGCATACCACCCTGAGTCCCAGCCAGCTCCTTCCGCCTGAGCCCCAGTGACACCGCTGCCACTGCAATGTCATCCAGGGGCTATGGCCAGGCCTCTGCTGCTGCTGCTGCTCTGAAGATGAGAAGGCTGTGGAAGCCAATCCAACCCACCACCTGGGGCTAACTCTGCTGTGTCCAGCATGTCCCTGCCTCCAGTGGTCACCCACACCCTTGCTCCAGGGCCAGGGGAGGTGTCCCAGGACAGATGGCCCGGGCAAGCTGAGCGGGAGGTGGGGGTGTAGAGGCCAAGGGCCTGGCCCAGTCCTGAACCCTAGTGTCTTCCACCCTAAGCACATCCAGGATGGGACCCTGGCAGCCCCAGGCTCTATCCCCACTCGCCCTAGCCACCTTCCAGCCCAACCTGGCTGCAGCTGCACCTTGTGGGGGCAGGGGCCAGACCACCTACCCATGGCCTCTTGTGCATGAGCGGCCAAAGCAGGACATGGCTGCATGCACACACCCATGCTGCTCAGGTGCCCAGGGCAGGCCAGGGCAGGTGGCGCCCGTCACCCTGCTTCATGCCACCTATGAGTGGCCAGCTGCACTTGGCCCCACTGAGCCCTTCACAAACATCAACTTGGTGGCTCCTGAACCAGAGCACGAGGGGGTCCTGTTGCCACCACCTCCACTTTACATGGTGACTGGCCCAGGTCACAAGGCCTGGCACCAGTGTCCTCAGCTCAGCCTCCATGTGCTGTTCAGGAGGTGCGGGGTACCACTGGCTGCTACACCTGAGCTCTGAGCTGGCATGAACCTTGCTAGGGCTTGGTTCTAAAAGGCTCCCCCATGCTGGACATGTGCAGAGGTAGACAGTGAAAGATGCCCAGGTCATTGGTATTGCGCTCGGCAGGGCAAGCTCAGGGCCAACTCTGCTGCCGGCACCCCGGCCTGGGTGGGGTGGTCACTGGGGGTGACTGGAGGGTGGTTTCTGTCACGTGCCTCTCCTTCCAGCCCCTCACCCACACTGATTCCAGCTTGGAGCTGCCAGGCAGGAGCTAAAAGTGGTAGCTAGGATAGCCCTCCTTTAAGTTGTGGGTGCTGAAGTTGGGTGTGGTGGTGCACATCTGTAATCTCCGCATGCAGGAGACTAAGACAAGAGGAATGCTGAGAGTTCAAGGCCAGCCTGGGCGACATAGCAGCCTGGGCGACATAGCAAGACCCTGTCTCCAAGAAAGAAAGAAAGAAAGAAAGAAAGAAAGAAAGAAAGAAAGAAAGAAAGAAAGAAAGAGAAAGAAAGAAAGAAAGAGAAAGAGAGAAAGAGAGAAAGAGAGAGAGAAAGAAAGAAAGAAAGAAGGAAACATTTGTTAGTCCCCGAGAAGTGGCCAGGACCTCAATGGCTCTGTCTGCTGGTGACCCTAGCACCATGAAGTGGTCTCTGGAAGCGCCAATGGGGGGACACAGCCAGGAGGAGGTGCAGGCTGGAATATGGCGCCCCTCATCCCCACCCACCCCACATCGAGGAAACTGAGGCACAAGGAGGGGACCATGATTTGCCGAAACGGCGCAGTGAGGACGTGGCAGCCCTGGGCCTCAGCAGCCCCCTTCCCACCTGGGCTGCGGTCCCCAGGAACAGGAAGGAGACAGGCGAAGGCAGCAGAGTGTGCGTGGGCCGACACGTATATGTGCGTGCATGCTCCACCACCCTGGCCAGGGCATACGCATGGAGGGGCCTGAAAGCTGTCGCTTTTTGCTGTCAGCTGTGCTGAACAGAGCTGCTGGCTGGGGCAGGATGTGAGCAGGAGGGCAGGCCATCAGCGTCCTTGCACGCCCTGTGTGCTGGAGGAAGGGGTGCCACCCCTACGGCCAGCTGTCCTCTCCCGCTCTGCACTTCCCACCTGTCTGGCCTCAAAGGATGAAGGAAGCACTTCCTGTGCGCCCCACCATTCAGGGCTCTCTCCACCCCACAAGTGGGGAACCTGAGGCTCTGAGATGCTCACAGCCTCACACATGGGAGTCAGGAGTGGGGATGGGGAGGCGCTGCCTGCTGGAGCAGCCCAAGAGCCAGGTGGGGTGCACACCGCAAGAGCGCGACCTGGAGCCGCCTACCCCCGCCCCAGACTGAGGTGCGGCCAGCGATCCTGTGCCCTGAACTCCCACAGCCCTTGTGCCCTATGGTGGCAGTGAGCTGTCTGCACGCAGACTCCCGCCTTCATCTTTTGGCACCAGCACCGCCCTGCTCTTACGGCCGTTTTCTGGACGAGGCTCTGGAGCCCAGCAAGGGTGGGGAGCTTGCCGCAGCCACTGCCTGGTCTGCCCGGGCCCAAGCCTCTCCTGGGCAGGGGCTCATGTACCTCGGAGCCTGTACCTCTGTTCTCACACTATGACCCTCTCCTCACCAGTGAACAGAATTGTCATCTGCCACTGGCCCTGCTAGGGCACCAGCCAGCTCCATCGAGTCAGCCCAGGCTCTGCTTCCTGTTGGTTGCTCCGGAGGTGGCGGCTGGAGCAGCAGCACCGGCCCCAGCCTTCCTGTCCCTCCTCCTGGCTGGCTCTGTCCTGGGCAGGGCAGGGCTTTGTAGCATCCCCAGGCCCCGGCCTGGCCGGGTTTTGTTTCTGAACTTCTTCCCTTGGAGACTGTTTACCTCCCTGAATATCCAGC